AAGATAAAATTCATATACATGCACTGGGATATCAGAGGAATGTGAAAATTCCAAACCCAACACAAATTACAAGCTTACATAAAGGGGTCATTTGGGGACATGGGGTTTTACCATCCACTTTTCCTTTAGGGATAATAGAGAAGAGTCATGCTGTTCCCTTGGAGTTAGCATGACACTGGTACAGATCCTTAAAACATATGAGCAATAGCATTTAAAGCATCTATAATAGCATACAAGTCATTCTGACCTCCATTAATTGCTTTTCCTTAGATAGAAACACCTTTGAAGATTCCTTCCCTCCAATCAATAACCTATTTTTAGGTTTGTTACTTCCTAGAAACAGGCCATCTTCTCTTTCCTAACCCAGAGAATTGGTCAGGAACTCCAAATTTTATATGTACAATATAGTCAACAGTAGCTGATCAATAGGATCATATAAAAGTTGTAAAGTAATTTATGAACAATTGCTTTTTTCTTTCTAATCAAGATCCTTCATGGGCTATATTATTTACATTTTTTTCTGAATGCATTTTCTGGGTTTCCTTTAGGGTTTATTCAATTGCAAATGGCGGGCAATTCAATTGAGATCAACTTACACCGACCTAAAATATTGTGGCCTCTCATAACTGAGCAGTCATGGCTTCATCCAGGTACATAAGTGATGACACTATGACCCAATCTCTCTTTCCATGTCTTGCTTCTGACTTTCACTTTGACTTCATTCTCTATAGTTTTAAGATATTTCCTGCCAGGTTAATTCCATGAGAGAGGTCACATCCCTTTTTCTTCAGGTAGGAATCTCAGAATTGATCTTGCATAGGGATTAATTTAACTGGCAGTTTGATCTGAATGCCTTAACCTACCTTTACCTCTAGGGTAATGTGATGCCTTAGTTTTGTCAGGCCTAAGTCCTATATCCCATGGAGGAGGTACAGCTACAAAGGGGATCGAGGTTAGAGTTTGTTCACCAAAAATAGAGAATGGATAGCCATTATGTTATTTTCAATTATAATCCTAATTGTACATATTTGGGGGTATGGTATGATATTTCCATTTGAACAATGTATACTGATCAAATCAAGCTAATTACCATTTCCATCTCCTTAACTTTATGGTTGGAGCCCTCAAGCTCATTTCTTGTTGTTATCCATAAAATACATTATAGGTAGTTGTGATCAGTAGTGCTTCCGCTGCGTTGTGTAACACTAGAACTTACTCCTTCTATCTCATTGTGTTTTGATGTCTATGATTCAATCTCCTAATATTCCCTTCCCTCCACCAATCCCAGCCTCCAATAATCACTGTTCTATACTCACGTCAACTTATTATTAGGTTCCACGCATGAAAGAGAACACGTAGTATTGTCTTTTGGTATCTGACTTGTTTCACTTAATTCTATCCATTTTCCTGGAGGTGATAGAATATCATTCTTTATGGCTGAATGATATACCATGTGTATATGTCACCTGTTTATTACCCATTATCCATTGATGGGCATCTAACTTGATTCCATATGCCATTCATTCTATTATATGATGTGAAGTATATTTTATTTTAGCCAGAAGAAATGGTTTAAATAGCTTATTGCATTAAATCAAGATTTTTAAAAAGGCTACATTCTTAAAAACCTAATTTTGCCTGATAGTCCTTTCCTTGACTAGAGGAAAGTTATAAAAAATTATAAAAAGTTATAAAAAAATATAAAAAAGTTTATAAAAATTTCCTTCAAAATGTATTTGCCCCTAAACTATTTTCCCTGCATCAAGCAGAATATTTGTCACAGAGAGCTTTTCTATCCACTAGCAAGACTTGTAAATTTTTAATTGATAGGTATAATTTACTTGCCATAAAACCCAGCCTTTCAAAGTGTACAAATTGTAATATATTCACAAGGTTGGGCAACAGTCAGTACTAATTCCAGGACATTTTCACTATCTTATTAAAAAATTCTATGACCAGTCACTCCCTAGTCACCTTGAGTTCCTGGCAACTAATTTAATTTTTGTTTCCAGAGACTTGCTTATTTCATATGTATTAAGTATGTCACATTGCCTCCTGAATGACCCAGTGCTTTCCCATATAGCCTTTGTTCTGATGTAGTGTGCCCTCTCCTCTTGGGAATATAATAAATTATCTTTTCAGTGGCTCCCGATTCATTGGCATTATAGGACCTAAATAATGACATAACCTATATTTAAAGATTATATGAATTGAGTCTTTCAGTATGTTTCCTATCTAACTTCTTTAACAATGTTTTCAGGGTTCATCCATGCTATAGTATGTATCAGTAATTGATTTCTTTTTATTACTGAGTAAAGTTTCATTGTATGGATATACCACATTTATTTATCCATTCATCAGATGATAGACGGTTGGGTTATTTCCATTTGGGGTTTACAATGAATAATGCTGCTCTGAATGAGTTTCCATGCCTGAAAGTTTTTGTAAGGACATGTGTTTTTAATCTAGGAATGGAATTGCTAGATTATATGGTAAATCTACATTTTACTTTTTGAGGAACTGCCAAACTGTTTCCCAAAGTGGTTATCCCATTTTATAGTCATACCAACAATGCTAGGGTTGTAATTTCTCCATATTCTTGATGAGACTTAACTTTTTTATTTAAGCCATTCTAATGAGTGGATTTTACAATATTACTTGTATTTTACATTTCCATAATGATTAGCAGTGTTAAGCATCCTTTCATGTGCTTATTGGCTACACACACACACACACACACACACACACACACACACATATATTCAAATCCTCTCATTTTTCAAAACGCTGTATTTTTTATATTTTTATTTTTTTAGATGGACACAATATCTTTATTTTTATGTGGCACTGAGGATCGAACCCAGTGCCTCATGCATGCTAGGTGAGCACTCTACTACTGAGCCATAACTCCAACCCCACGATAGGTTGTATTTTTAATATAAGTTTTAAAATTCATTCTGGATACTAGACCATTATTAGATATATGATTGGCAAACATTCTGTTTTTTATTTTGGCTTCATTTTCACTTCCTTGATAGTCCCCCCTTTTTTTGGGGGGCACTCCATCACTGAGCAACATCCCTAGCCATATTTTTGTATATTATTTAGAGACAGGGTTTCACTAAGTTGCTTAGTGCTCGCCATTGCTGAGGCTGGCTTTGAACTTGCAATCCTCCTGTCTCGGCCTCTGGAGCCACTTGAAACACACAAAAAAATTATTTTTGGTCAGGTTAGTGGTAAGAAAACTTTTCCACTTCCAACTGGGGTGTACTTGAATTTTCCACAACCAACTTGGGTACATTATGAATCTGCAAATTAATTGAGAGAATGTTTTCTATTGTGCTTTTGATGACAATGAGACTGGGCTGTCTATCTTCATAGCAGCTAAATTTGCAGGAAGATTTCTGGGAGATGTTGTGGTGTGAACTGATAAATACAATCAATAAGAGTGTAAATTATAAGTTATAGGTTAGTAAAAAATATAGATTATAGGTATAAGATTTTGATAAGTGAGATAAGACAATTATAAAGCAAAAACTGTTATAGACAGGCCTAAGACTTCATTTTGCTGCCTTCTATAAAAACTGTTACAAGAGCTGTTTCTGAGAAACTGAAATGAAAGCTGTTTTCTTATAAAAATTGTGTTTCTGTACTTTGTACCCTACAAATTATACCCTATTCAGGATGCACGGTGGTCGGTGGTCTTGGTGAGCTACATCCTGGGTGTGAATGCCCTTGTGGGTCTGCATGACTTTGCAATAGATTCTCACCCCTCCAACCCCCGCCCAAATTCAGGATGCAACTATCAGGCACCGGATTGAACCCAGGACTGTGTCAACTGAACTGCAAAGCTATTGCTTTTTTTTTTTTTTTTTTTTTTTTAGCTTCTGGCTTGCTTGCTGACTGGAAAATTCCAGTCCTGCCTAGAGCCCACAGGTTCCACTTACTAATGTTTTAATTTCTATGATTGGCTAACTCACATGGCGATAAGCAAGTCACTACTAAGTTGTGGTTTTATCCTTATATTCTCTTTGGATGGACCAGGAAGCTGCTATCCTCCCACAGAGCTTGAGTCTCCAAGGTGAGTGACAGACCCTGGCCAGGTAAATAAAGCTCTCTTTTGATTTGAAATTTGGACTTAAGAGTGCTGAGGCGTCTCTCCATAACATGAGAGTTAATGGTAATTGTATTTTCTGGTGACTGTTCTTTGGTCAGATAAAGGCAGTTCAGATATGTTTTTCTTCTGCATTGTCTTTAGCTCAAATACTTTTACTTTAAAATAATCTTTATACCAACTTTAGGAGTTTTATCAGGTCTACATAAGTTTAACTTTTCTCCTCCTCCTTCTCCTTTTCTTTCTCTTCCTTCTTTGGTTGGCATGCTTTGGGTTGATGTGTAAGAAACCATTACTTAATCCAAGTTCACAAAGATTTTTATCCACGCTTTCTAGTTTTAGCGCATACATTAAGTTGTTCCATTCATTTTGAGTTGATTTTTGCAAATGGTGTGAAGTAGGGGTCCAGCTTCCTGTTTTTGCAAATGGGTACCTTGAACCAATACCATTTGTTGTAAAGGTGACTTCCATAATGAATTATTTTAGCACCACTGTTGATAACCAATCAACCATGAATGAATTTATGGTTTATTTCTAGACCCCTAATTCTAATCCTGGGTCCATAGGTCTATGAGATGACCAGGGGGTTCAGGAAAGAAGGAGCCGTAATTTTCCGACGCAGCTGAGGCAGAAGATGACTGGATTGAACATCTGTCTCTGCCTCTCCAGTGACCCCCAACAGCCTCCTTCCCTGTCTGGGCAAAGGGCCACATAAGTAGGCAGGGCCATTCCCCCTTACAGGGTGAGAACTCAGAGAGAAGTGCTTTAACATTGCCCTTCCCGCTGTTCTCAGAGGCAGGAACGCCAGACGCCCCAGCACCAATGCGCTCGTGGCGCGCGCACCTGCTCAGCCAAGTGCGCCTGCGTAGGTTTCGCTTGCGTCTGCGCATAACCCACTTTCTGTGCTTAGGTTCCTGAGGCGTGAAGGTTGGCTCTCGCTGACTGGGGTCTTTCGTCGACGGTTGACCGAGGCGGGGAAACTTGAGGGTTCAAGTTGTGTGTAATATTGTAGTGGGGGCGTTCAAGAAGGGGAAACCCTTGCGTTGGCTCTAGTTATAAACCGTTCTGGGTCCCCTGGGTGGGGCAGGAACCTCGCCGCCTCTCCGGCAAGGAGAGGCCCAAACGTGCCCTTCTGGCTTCTTCCTGAGGCAACGGTCTTTGGGGACGGAAGTGTACCACACAGCCGCTTCACTAAGCCACTCAGGTCCAACTGGAAGTAGGAATTGTGCGAGCCAGGGATCCAGGGGAGGATTTCTCACTTGAAAAATCAGTTTATTTTGATCGCGACACTTGAAGATGTAATGGCTCTTGTAGGCGCCCTTGTGTTTCCGATATAATTTGCATTGAGAAAAAGTGGCATGACTTGTGTTTTGGTTCCTAGAATAGAACCAAAAGTATTTTCAAAAGGGCCTATTGTATCTAAAGTCAAGATAGAGAAACAAAGCAGAGGTAGCCCCTCACCTCATGTTTCCCAAGTTTTATTTTTACAATGATATTTGGAAGTTAATTTTTACCTAAGTCTGATTTGCATCATTCCTTACTTGTGTTTATGTCTATATGTATTATTGGATAGGAAATTTGGAGCAGAAATGATCTTAATTTTTAAGTTTGTATCTTTCCTTTTCACTCATGCAATGGGCAAGTAGTTATTGAATTTGATTGAACTATATTAGGAGGCTATACTTGGAAAAATCACAAAAGCAAATATGTTGCAAAAGGAAAAAATTACAGGGAAAAAACCCCTTTACTTCGTTTGTTTACATTGCAAAAACTGAGTGGAAATTTTATATTTATTTATTTGAATATTAAGTGAGGATTTAGTCTTTGATAGTCTCAAACTAATAGCTAAAGCATAGTGTCATGAAGTGCAACAGACTATGGTCTCCTATGGCTAGTTCTGTACTTTATATTTTCTACCTGTGAGTTTGCCAATGCAGTAATCCATTTCTCTCTTTATAGATCTGATTCAGAATTATGGTATGTCCTTGATTCTGGAGTAAATTGTATAGACAATATGAAAATATGCACATATTAGGAAGCAAGGTTATAATTATTTTGAACAGAGCTGGAAACATAAGTTTTGTTGTAAATACTTATTCAGAAGCAAAGGACTCCCTAAAATGTTTACATTATCAGATCTCAATGTAGTTTTCAATGATAATTTTCATAATTAATATGCTGGGAATTTATTTTTTGTTACAATATGAGTTACAATGTTCTTTCTTTGAAGGTTTGGTCAAACAACTTCATTTTTTGAATGTAGAATGCAAAAAAAGATTATAGACTGATATAGAAGAAAATGAAGAGAAACTTAAATGAAAATTCAACTCGAAGTACAGCAGGTATTGAAAACTTTATTTTTGAAGCTTATTTATTTTGTATATGCCATTTAAAGCTTGTGTAGTTTGTAGGTGAAACATTTTGGAAGGAACTTTAAGAAAGATGAAACATTGAGTCTTACTTCTTTTTAGGTCCAAAGAGGTAAAGTAAAACTTAACTAAAAGTATTTAGTGACAGAGGTGGGAGTAAAATAAAAGCTTAGATTCATTCTGGTATTCTTCTGCAGATCCTATGTGCTTGAGTTGTTCTTTGCTTTTAAGATAAAAACAAATACATAGATCTATTTTTAGTTATATTTGTGACTGATTTGTTAAAAATATTTCCAGAAATACATATGTTTCCTAAGAGCTATCATTTCTATTTTCCTAACTTATTAGGTAATATAAGGACAGGACAAAAATGGTGAGAACCAGGTCAAAGAATCAATATGATGCACAATGAAGATAATAATAACTATTATTTATGGTGAACATTTTTAGACATTTAATTATTCATATTAATTCATTTAATTCCTCCATCAACCCTTTAAAATAGGTTATTATTATTGTCCCTGTTTTTCCTATAAGAAACCAAGACACAAAATGGTTATGTTATTCTCCATCTCAGTTTGTGTCATATTGGCACAAAGAGTTGAAGGAAATTGCCCATGTTTATACTTTGAAGTTGTAATCCAAATACATAATTATTACCTAGGTAGTCTCACTGAAGATCTCACATAATTTAGTACTTCATTAGAAAGTTTTAGAGTCAGTACTCTGAAGTGTAGTGATGGCAGATAGCTAGATGATGGTCTAGTGGCCAGAGATTTGAACTAAGATTTAGGAAGCTTGGGTCCTATCTGGATTCTTCCAGATACTTTCTTGGAAGTGATAGGCAAACTTTTTGGACTTCTTTTCCTCTGAGTCTCCTTATAAGATTTAAAATCTATATATTGTGACTTTTGGCCTTACTTGAGATCCTAGTTCTGCTACCTTAGGAAGTAGAGTTAGTTTTTTTTCTTTCTTGTTTGGATTTGATAGTGTCTCTCTCTAAGGCATTCTCAAAATTACATATAAAAATATCATTACAGATGCTGGGGGTGAGACTTTGGGTTCCAGACCAAATCTGTTGAAATAAAATTTTATAAGAATGGGTTTATGGTCTTAGTACTTGAGGTTAAGTGGAATTCTAGTTTAAATCTAATTCAAAATAAACTTGAGAACCATACCTAAAAGATGTGCTGGTATTATCCAAATAGTGATTGGGGTTTTGAGAAGCATGGTTCAGTGACCTCTGTTGTACACCATGGATTTTCTGTAGTTAATAGGGTAATAGGTAAGCACATGAGAGAAATAAGGAAAACAGAAAGTGGGATGAGAGAAGAAATGGGAATAAGTTCCAAACAGGAGGAGTTAAAGCAATGTTAAGATTGAATAAAAAAGTACTTTTTAGAGAGATAAATGAAGCTATTTAGGATTTAAAAAAAATGTAAAAACCAATTCAAGGGCATAGAAATATGCCTCTATTAAGTATATTAATATATGGAAGTAGACATTAAAGTTGTGCATTATAAGTAATTATTCTATAAGTAGATCTGATTATGTAATAATTTATTTTCTGTTATGTACTAATTTATTGGTATATTCAATGTAGGCTGTTTGCCTGTACCATTGTTCAATCAGAAGAAGAGGAATAGACAGCCGTTAACATCTAATCCACTTAAAAATGATCCAGGTATCAGTACTGCTTCTGACAGTTATGATTTCCCTCCAATACCAACAGGTAAGAAAAGGAGTAAGGTGAAATATTTCAGGAAACAAGAACTGGGATTGTAGAAAATTGCACTTTTTCTTTATAATGAGAGTAGAAATATTTTTTTCTTCTTTTACTGTCCAAATACAGAAATATCTTGGCTTTTCCTTATCATTATGGTACAGGAGTGTGAGTGTCTCTCTATAAGGGTTGCTTAGCATTTAAATGGAGTATCTTAGATTTGTTCTAATGAAGTAGTAAACTACATTGCAAATATTTTTTTTCCTTTTTCAAACAGATATAGATTTTTGTGATCTGTACATTTGGAGAAACTCAAGTTGCCTCAGGAACAGGAATAAGTATGCATGAAATACAGGAAAAAATGTGGGAAAAAAATTAGACTCTAGGAAGGATAGAAGCCCAGGAATTTTTGGTGCTTGGTTCTGATTTCTTTTGTTTTTGCCTTTCTTATTTGCTGGTTCTTTACTTTCTGCTATGGTGTGAAAATTCATATATTGAAATTTAATCAACAATGTGATAGTAGTATTAAAGGATAGGGGTCTGTAGAAAGTGATTAAGTCATGAAGGTTCTGCCCTCATGCACAGGATTCGGGACACACACTGTGCATGTTTCTGAAGGAGCTTTTTATTTCTTCTATCATGTAAGAGGTGCCATCTGTCAGATACCTAATCTGTTGGTGCTTTGATATGGGTCGTCCCAACCTCCATAACTGTTCAAAAGTAAGCTTCTATTATTTCTAAAATACCCAGTAAAAGGTATTTTGTTTTAGCAACCTAAATGGACTAAGGCACTCCTATCCAGTTTGTTTTCTTATAGCTTCAACTAGCGCATGAACCATGAACTAAGTTGCCATTGCAAGGAGTTTACATAATCTTTTAGTTCTAGCTTTTAGAGGTAATTGGTTGACTGTCTTCTGTATCTCTTAATTAAGTCCTGGAGGCAGGGAGGCTTTGGTTCATTTAATCATTTAAGCAAGACCACTAAAATCCTGGCTTAGCTTCTGAACCAGTTAGCCATGGTGGTGAGTGCTGGGAGATATGTTTGCTAACTTTGTACTTTCCTCTGGATGAAGGCTTGGAAAGGCAGACATTTTAAAGTATATTTGGTGCAAAATGGCTGTATACATTTAAACTTGGTAGATACTAAAAATTATTAATAGAATATTATGCAACTAGAATTTTAAAAGATCTTTACATACTTGTGTGTATATATATACTTGTATTGCATATATAATATATATATTATATACTTGTATATGTAACATACAAGTATATATGTTATATGCATAAGTATATGTGTTATATATACAAGTATATATAATACTATATATAATACAATATATCATATATAATATATAATACATATATACATATTGTACAGAATTATATATACTAATATTATGTATAAAATACATATTATATTACTAGTATTATACTATATACAATGTGTATATATGTATTATATATTATATATAATATATTGTATTATATGTATAATTGTATTGTTAATTTATTTTATTATTTTCCCATAGACCTTAATGTAGCTCTAAAATGATTTTTTCTTTCATGTTAGAGGAATTTGAGGTATAAAGTTTCTAATATTCCCATTTTTATGTATAGAAAATTAGAAATTCACATGGGTAGGCACAAGTCAGCATTTATATAGTCATCCTCTATCATTTAAAAAATTTTCTACTATTTCTCTAAAGACTAGGAATGGAACCACCATATAACTGAGCTAGTTTCTTAGTATTTTTCCTTAAGAATTACAGTTACTATACTGTAGTGAAACACGTATAACCATGTTTATAGCAGCACAATTCACAATAGTCAAATTATGGAACCCTCCTAGGTGTTCATCAGTGGATGAATGGATTAAGAAAATGTAGTGTATGTGTGTGTGTGTGTGTGTGTGTGTGTGTATATATATATATATATATATACATGCAATGGAGTTTTATTCAGCCATAAAATAAAAATGAAGTTATGCCATTTGTAGGGAAATGGATGGAACTTCAGAACATTATATTAAGCCAAATAAATCCAACTCAGTATGTCAAGGGTCATCTGTCTTTTCTCATGTGGAAGCTAGAAAGAAAAAAGGAAAATAAATGTGTGGGGTATGTGTATGTGAGGGGGTGGAATCTCATGAAAATTAAAGGGAAATCAGTAGAGAAAAGGAAAGGGACCATGGAGGAGGAGGAAGAGTGGGAAAGGGGAAGTACTGGGGATTGATAGTAGCCAAATTATGTTGTTACATTGTATGTATTTATGAATATGTAACAATAAATCCCACCATTATGTACAACTATAATGTACCAATAAAAATATGGAAAAAATAAAAAAAGTTCACCACCACTTAAATTTTTTTCTAAGTAGCATGAATGTTGACCTTAAAAACTAATAAGTATGAACTACTTCATAAGGAAATGTTCATTTTACTCAATTCTGAACTCTTCAAGCTCTGACTGAAATTACTATTTGTCACCGATATAATAAGATCTTACACTGGATAAGGAAAAGGACTACATCAGTGTTTTCCAAATTTTTGTCTTGACTCAAGAGTTGGGCTGGGATATAACCAATCTGTAAAAAAAAGAAAGAGACTAGAGTATGATAGAAAAGATCAGTGTGTGACATACATAATAAGGATAATATTTGATGGTGAAATTTTGTTACATTCTCTTATCCTCTTTTTGTTTGCCTCTGTTCATCTCTTTTAACACACATTATGTATGTATCTGTTATGGATTATGATGATCTATTTCTTACTGTGGGGTGGAATAAAAAATTGGGATAGACTGCATTTATGTTATAGAGTATAAGAATATTAGAATTTTTATGCTACAAAGTATAAGATTCTATATTAGAATTTATTATTTTTGCTTACAGTACAAAGGGGAGGAAAGATATCTATGAAAATCAATAAGGAAGGCTACTGGCAAATTCAACAATAAAGTTCTATTGAAAAGAATTTCTTTCTCTTAAAGTTTTTACATTTCCCAAGTTAAATAAATATGAATTAGTTATTTTGAACAATGTTACCTATTTTACTTTTGTTTGTGTTCTTATTCTTTTGAGATTGGGCCTGGGAGGCTATGAATCAAGAGTGGGCTCCTTTAACAATGAACACAAGGTATGTGGAGAAAAATATAAGCTAAAAAATGTGTGTCTGATGCCATTTTTCTGTGTGTGTTTTATATTTATTGATTTGAAAACAAATTATTTACATTTAACAAGACATATTTCCTTGAAAGCCAAATACCACCTTCAGTTTCTCATCCCCTGAGAAGTCAAGATTCTATTCCTAAATCAATTCAGTCAAATACTGCAAGAAGCCAAAGTGGTTGGAGGTGAGTCTACTTAAAATTTGTCTTCTATTCTTTTTGTCTTTACTCTCTCCTCCTCTTTCCCCCTCCTTTAACTTTTTCTCCTTTTTTAGATAGAATTGCATTTAGGAGATTTCTATGTTAGTAACTATGGACATTCTCATTGTACTTTTAAATCATCTCTAGATTATATACAAAACTAATATTAATTCTGTGTAAATAGTTGTCATATTGTTTAAGAAATAATGACAAGGAAAAAGTCTGTATTTGTTTAGTACAGATATTATTTTTTTCCAAATATTTTTGAGCTGTGGTTGGTTGAATCTGTAGATGTGGAGATCTGTGAGTACAGATGGCTGACTGTTCTCTGTTTTCTATACATATTTACCTTTGCTAGTGAGTTTCATATGTGTAATCTCGTATTGCTTTTTTAGCATCTTTCTGTTTCAACTTGAAGAACTCTAGCATTTCTTGTAATACATAACCTGTTGAGATCTTTCAGTTCCTTGGCAATTGCTGGTAATTTAATCTAAGCTTAATAAATACTTGTGAACCAGATATTCTCATGTTTACAGGCATTTGGTGAAGGGAGAAGAGAATTTTAGTTTCTTTCTATTAAAACTAGCATATTGTCTCTTATTTTTGTATCAGTGTGCTTCTCTACTCCAGTAGCTTCCATTCTCTTTAATGATTTTGGCTTTGAACCTAAGTTCTAACTTCTCTAAGGTTTCTAGTCTCACTTCTCCAATAATTATGTCCAGCAATTTGTAGGATTTTCATAATTTTAAAATGTTACACATATTCTTTTAGAGACTGTTAGAACAGTATGTATTGTAAAATTTACAGTATAAATTTTAGAAAATGTTAAAATAATACACATGAATTTTTGATTGATTTTCATGATGGTAGTCTAAGGAGCTTTTATTTTCTTGCTACTCTGAATTGTGAATGATTGAGTATAGTTCAGTAGGTTATTCAAAGTGTAGGAGGTTTATTTAGACTAGCAATCATCAAAAAACACAAATAATAATAAATGTTGGCAAGAATATGGTGAAAAAGGAACTCTGTTGGTGGGATTGTAAATTAGTACAATCACCATGGAAATCAGTATGGAGTTTCCTCAAAAGACTGGGAATGAAACTACTATATGGACTGGGGTTTTGGCTCAGTGGTAGAGCACTCGCCTGGCAAGTGTGGGGCCCTGGGTTTGATCCTCAGCACCACATAAAAATAAATAAATAAAATAAAGGTATTGTGTACAACCACAACTAAAAAATAAATATTAAAAAAGAAACTACCATATTACCCAACTCTACCATTCCTCAGTATTTATCGAAAAAACTAGAGTCAGCATACTGCAGTGATACATGCATACACATGTTCATAGCAGTGTAATTCACAATAGCCAAGTTATGGGAACTAGCTTAGGTCTCTGTCACCAGAAGAATGGAAAAGAAAATGTGGGATTTGTACACTCTGGAGTTTTACTCAGCCATAAAGAAGAATGAAATTATATAATTTACGGGAAAATGGATGGAACTTGGGAGCATTATGTTAATCAAAATAAATCATGCTCAGAAAGTCAAAGGGTCATGTTTTCTCTCATGTGTAAACTAGAGAGAAAAAAGGAAAAGAAAAACAAAAGGTAGAAGGAGCTCATGAAATTAAAAAGGAGATCGGTAGAGTAGAGAAAGGGGATCAGGGGGAGGGAGGAGGGAGGAAAATAGAGATACTGGGGAATTAAATTATGTTATGTGCATGTATAATATGCCACAAAGTATATCCTACTATTATGTATAATTATAATGGCCCGATTAAAGAACTAAATGACAAAAAAGTGTGATAGTTTTCATTAGCAGAGGAATTTACCATAAAACTAATGATGCTTACACATCAAGACCTTAATTATATTGTCCCCTTCAAAGTCATATCCCCATCCATGGGCCAGAGAAGAAGGCAGTAAATTCAGCCTTATAAAGTGGCATCTCAGCCTTAGGGTCATCCACTATATTCTGATGATACATCTGGGGCTACAGGCCCTGGCTAGTGGGTGGCTAGCCCTACTTTCACATCCATATGGACTCAGCAACAGCTTGCTGTTGGGGACTTTGTTGACTATCTGGACCTATATTTTCTTCAACAAGAATGATTAAGGGGAGATTCTGCTACTTCCCTGCTTAGAAGCCCCTGCAACTTGGACTTTATGGTCTGGTTGGGGTGTTGAGGACATGGCTGAGTTGGATTGACTTTTGAGACATGATCTCTGTGTGGGCCCACTGCAAAGGTGAAAGGACTATAGTTCTTAGGCCAGTAATATCTTAATGAGTAAAAATGTTGCTAATGTTAGATGAACTATTAAATAGTTGTGAAGCTAAAAGAAATCTTTCTAGACTATAAAAAATAAAATAATTTGAATAGCCATGAGAGAGGAAAGACAAAATTGTATTTCTGTACTCTCTACTGAAATAAAGTAACAAAATTGTTGTCATAGGAAAAGGAGGTGATCAGTGTTGGAAAAAAAGTCTTGAGTGTCAGGCAGTTAATTAATAATAATCCTAGTCATATTTTTCTTGGATATTATAATGTTTATGGTATAACTTAAATTTTTTAATTGTGATTTTTTTATTCCATCTTGTTCACATTTAATTTTATACTTAATTTATTTAACTGTACTTTCCAAATTATTCAAGCTTCGGGTTCCAGAAAACCTAGATTTGTTCCTATCACTAGCAAATCTAGACCTTTTTTTGGATTATTTTCTTAAACAAGAGATGGGTTGTATTGATTGTGATATTTCTAGGAAAATTATTCAGAATTAAGAACTTGTGACTTGCACTAGCTTTTTCCTTTGGAACTTTAATGTTTAGAAAACACCCTTCTGATTTTAGCCTCATTAACAACAAGTTCTGATCAACTGCTACAACTCCATTTAGATTAATGTAGTTAGTAAATACTGTAACAGGTTGATTAGTATGGCTTTTTAGATACACAGTAAAAGCACAAAATATCTAATTAGAGCTATCTACCCTGTGTATATTCATTTTGCTTGTGATTTAAAATCATTGATAAACCATGGTTTAACTTTAAAAATTTACTTTGTAGTAATTTAAAAATAAATGTATAAAGAATTAATAAGCAAAATCTTTCCACTTGGAGACAACCACTGTCACTTAAAGGCTGGCATAGTTTAAAAATATATGGTGTAGGTTTCTCTTGGTTCTAAACTTGTTAGTAACTTGATATATGCTACTTCCTCACCAAGGCTCTTTGTCCTCATCGGGAAATAGAGATAATTTATTGTAGAGTTGTCGCAATGATGTGTTTGGAATTTAAAACTAGTTAGTTACAAAGTAGTTTGTAAACCAGGAATTGCCATATAAATAAAATTTTTATCATTGTCTTTTAAAAAAGTATAAAGAAATAAATGTTTTTCCTTTTTCCCTTCTTTTTCTTTTTTCCTATTATATCTACAGAGATGACAACAAAAATACCAGCTTGAAAACTTGGGATAAAAATGACTTTAGACCTCAATGTAAAACAACAAAACTAATGACAAATGATGGAAAAAATTCTTTTCCAGTGAATTTGGGAGCTCAGATACTACAGAAACAATTAAGGGTATCTGAAACTCCTAATTTATCTCATCACAGAGAAACTGAGGTACTCAGACAAATGTGTTCGTCAAAAGTTTCTGGCTCTACAATAAAAGGCTCAGACAAAAACAGTGCATTACAGACATTTAAGCCCAATTTTCAACAAAATCAATTTAAGAAAAAAATGTTGGATGCTATTCCAGAAGAAAACACTCTGAAGGTAAACATTTAAATATTAATGAATGAATGAATGACTTATTTATATTTTTAAAATGTGAAATAAATAGCTATTAGGAAAGTTATAGAGGTAAGAATATTTGAAATCAATCCCCTAGTATATGTTACTTGATTAGCATAAATATCCAGTTCCATTGGAGGGATGAATATTAGTTTGTAAAATATTTTCTTAGCAGATAACTGCTCTTTTTCATAAGTGCTTCAGAGTTTCCTAGTGGATTCTATGTTTCACTGCTTACTGATTATTAGCATAACAATTTATTCTTTGCTTTCAGAAATTATCCAACTCTGTTTATCATTCTTACATATTTTTTCCCCAACAGAGAGAACAGAAACATTTTTCTGTAAAGGGCCAAATAATAAGTATTTTTGGCTTCATGGGCCATACTATCTCTGTTGCAATTATACATCTATGTTAATTCAACTCTGGAGGAGCCATAGACAGTATGAATGGGTATGTCAGTGTTCCATTAAAAGTGTAAAGAAACATCAAAGATTAGATTTGGAGTACAGGCCATTGTTTGCTGATTTTTGTTTTATCATCTGGATCTATTCTCCTTTACCAAACTCCGTATTTCACATTCCACTAATTCTTTTTTTTTTAAAGAGAGAGTGAGAGAGGAGAGAGAGAGAGAGAGAGAGAGAGAGAGAGAGAGAGAGAGAGA